CTACCCATAGAATTAGGGTGCAAGTAGTATAGCAGATGTCGATCTGGGTGGTTTTCAATAAGAAGCAGCATGAGGTTATAGATTGGTGTGATTGAGGTGGTGGTGCAGGACAGGGGACGTCAGAGGGTTTAAACAGGTAATCTCCTAGTAGTTATAGGTATGGCATATAGTGTAGAACCTTCGGGTGGACTACTTAAATTAGGCAACCAAAAGTTGCACGTGTGGCTATATGTACTCTCGCTAACCAGAAATGTACTACTAAATATACCTAATAAAAATCCACCCTTCCGTGACATTATGAAGATATAAAATTTTGTGATAGTATGGCCTCACCTTTGAAGATTAAAATTTTTGTGATATGATTATAAGTGATTTGTGACTATAATAAGTTTTTTTACTATATTTAAGTCTGTTGCACAATATTTGGTGCTTATATTATATATGGATGCGTCGATCATTTGACTCCATATTAAAAAATACTCATGTGACATATCGTTTGACTGTATAAATATTAAATTTTTAAATTTCATTTAAAACTATGATACTATACAAGTTTTATGTCACTCCGGTTATATCGACACCTCAAAAAAATCAAGAAATTGTCAGATGTCGGCTAAACATGGGCATTTTTATATTAAGCATAAAAGGTAAAAAAAAATGTTATAGTTAGATGTCGATACAACCAGAGTGACGTGTACTATATACTAAAAATTTTTTATTTAACTATTATTTACCACCAATGAGTAAGTAGCTGCTTATTCACAAAATTCTGATTCCACTTTAGTAACTCATTAATATCTCTAACCCAATCCACGCCCTCACCGGAGCGGTTAACACATGGAATTGGATAGGGTGACATTTCTACCTATTTAGTAAATAGTTAGATAAATGAAATAAATAAATAAATAAACCTGTTATCAATAAATACTTGCCTCTAAACAATCTCCTTTATCTAACATACATATTACTCTACCATCAACTGTTACCTCTAATGGTGCACGACTTTCCTCACTAATCTTTTTTATATTGTTAGCATTGATCTGAAATCTGAAAAGTTGAATTAATACATAGATCTGTACCTTCATCTTGATTTTCGCGGTTGGTGGTAATGAAATTGGCCGGAATGACAATGATCGTGGGCATATCGGTGTTAATAAAATACTTTGTACAGATGGATGTATTATTGGACCACCTACAGTGTAAAAGTTGTTATTTACTCACTAAAGTTATATGATTATCATGAAGGGGTGAACGATTTCATCAATGTCGCCTTTCTGTTTAACGATTTCATCGGCTTTGCATAAAGCCATGTTATCTAAATACTTTAAGGGACTGCATTGATGAAAACTGCTCACAGCAAACAATTCATCAATTATATGTATGTTTTCCAATAAATATTAGGCATAGGAATCATATAGGAAGTTCACATATGATAACTATCAGCGTATTTCCTACATATTACAAACACTAGCTTCAGTCAAACGAAACTTTGTAGCATGTAGGTTATTATAAACATCTATATACTATTCAATGATGACTAGACGCCACTGGATATTTTTGTAAATACGTGCCAGCTGATAATGAATATGCAGTTGAGCCGGTAGGTGTAGCAGTGATCAAGCCATCCGCCTGATAGGAGATTGCGTGATCAGCTTTTTTAAAGTAAAAATAAAGGCAGATAAAAGTATCTTGAGAAAATACCACTGCATTGGTTAGGAATTGTTCATCGACAAAGCAATTAATTGCTGTCAAATGCGGAAATCGTCCTCTGTGTAAGTTTACTTCATTCATGGCTTGTAAATTTCCTAATTCAATATATTTTGACGTAAAAACAATCGTTTCCTTAACGGTAAAAACACAAGAATACTAAGAATACCAATTTCTTTATTTTTCCACACAATTCTTTTTCTTTCTGCGTTCCACATTGAGCATGTCAATCTCATTCGCAGTAATAAAGAGACGTCACCTTTGATCAAAGACTCCAGTGCTGACTCATACTGTCGAATATCTAACGATACGATCGTTATAGTCAAGAACATATAAAGCTTTATGTAATAAATTAAAACAAGATGTGGATACGAAATGGTAATAAGAAGCCAAGCGTCCCCATCGAGAATGAGATAATAGGTGGGACGGAATGATCGAATTGTGAAGACACATGTAATATAGTACCGTCACCTCCCAGAGTAACAACAAAATCTACGACTCTTGTATATTCATCTTTTCGCCCTATAATAAGCTGTAAGTTAACGTGATTATATTTCATAAAATATCGTGTACAAGTTACCTTCGGGTATCATGTATACAAATGGTAGTTTATTTTGAAACTCTTTCACAGTTTCTTGTTCGATTATTATATTAAGTTGGGGATATTTATCGTGCAGCCAACTAACGTTGGGAAACCAAAATTTAATATCTTTGATGAAAGAATAACAATTGCATGCCAATTTATTCCGCACTTTATTAATTCCACAAACGCTTTCTCCGTTGATTCGCTTGATGGTTTTTTAACAACAAAAACTGAACGAGGTTGCTGTACCCATCGTAGCTTGTAATTGCCTCTAACAAAAAAAATGTTGAAATACTTTGATCAAAATACGGGAAATTTAAGAAATTTGTAGTTGGTGACTACGAACCCATAAGTAGATCCAATCGTTTGCTGGATTTCTGTTAAAATTGACTCTTTCGACTGTTTTTGATCTGTTTCATGCGATTCTGTGGGAAACAAATCAGTGATCAAAAATATTGAAATATTAAAAAAAGGAATAAATATGCATTATTACGTGTCAAGTCTTCAACTTGTTCCAACAGAAATTGAACCTTATTTGGCAGGTTCGTTGTGGTTGAATGCATGCGACAGTGAAATTTTTTATGACTTTGAGAAAATAAACTAATTCTCACAAAATGATTTCTATATGTTTTGTGAAATGCTGATATTGCATAAATCAAATTTGACCGCACCTAAAAAGAAAAAAAAAAAAAACAATATTAATTTTTAATATTGATTTTAGTCAATTGATTCGATTCGATATTACATTTGAATACTGCATCATCTGTTGTTCACTGACAGAATGAATGACGAAAGAAATAAACTTTTGTGCATGAGAGAGCGTGTCACACATGATTTATATCGCAAGCGCTCAAACTCCGACCCGTGGCTTGTCAATGTTAAGTTATTCTCTTCGATTATAGCAGTTAGGTCATGCGGTTGTACAGTGTCACTTTCGAATATATAAATTCAACTTCAAGGAAAAATCTACGTTAACATATGTTATAATTACTAGATTCGTTAGTCCTAAATCTATACTATTCTTTACGGTTTTGATACTTTTGAGAGTTACGTGGTTAATAAGGTCCTTGTTTCCGTCAACGATCTTCGAAGCATGGCTAGTCCTGACGAACAAAGAGAGCTAAGGAAGAAATCAGAAAAAGAAGAGCTAGAGTTCTATACCAAATTCGAACAAAAAATTCAGCCCGCAATCGAGGAGTTCCGAAATAGTTTTCCAAATGGTCCTTATTCTCAACCAAGAGGACCAATGCCACTAGGCAATTTCGAAATTCTTTTTGACGAATGGTGTAGTTACCTGGTAAAAGCGCCGCCACCCACACTAAAGCAGCGACAGTATTTGTCCCAACCTCCGCCCCCTTCGGCGCAACAAAAAAACGCTACACTAATTACACATAACCGACAAGTTCAGGTCTGCTCAGATAGGCCCCCTAACAACACCGCTTCCTCGAACTCTTCAAAAAAGAATATCGACTATCTCGATTTTCTCGAAGGGTAAGCAATAATATCGATATTCTAATAATGACACTAATATCGAGATTTGTTAGTCTGATGTTCTATTGTGACACTGATTATTTATTGAATTATATGTAGTATAAATACTTAATAGAATACATTTTTTTCTCCTAATTAAAAAAAGGCTTTCAAAACAACAGAGTTATGATAGTTCTGGTTTTAACAAATCACTGGAGGAAGCAGAGCACTTAGGAAAATATGTGAGGTGAATAACGCCACGATAATGACCCTTCACAAATTTTTCATCATCGTATGATGATTAATTATGGTGGTTTTCTGATGGTTTAGCACACCGAGAAATATGAAGTTTAATACGTCGGATAATTCGAGCACTTATGGCGCACCGAATAAAACGAACAGAAAAGACCCTTTATCAAACGGAAAAGCAAATATAGATGCTGGAAAAAGGGACTTTACGAGAGATGATGCCAGAAGCGTGCTGGAGGTAATAGCAAGTTTTTCATTGATTCTTTATCAACACATTCACATAATTGGATAAAGACGCCTGATTGTTGCACTTTTGAAAATTTATTAGAAATTTTACGAAACGCGAAAGAGAAAAGCACCTATCACGATACCTACCTTGGATGATGTCGATATTAAGAAGAGGAACAAAGGCAAGGATGTAGCAACAAAACGCCCTCCAAAAAAGCTACCAATCACAAAAAATTCACGCGTGCAGAACTATAATAAGCGAAATTATAACAAAGATGTCATTATGACAGATCGAGAATTCACGCATGATGATGAAAGAACTTTAGGAGATCCTTCATCATTACCTACCACAAATAATCCGGTCAACAATGATCCTCAAAAACCTGTTAAACAGTTAATAGTTAAATTGAAAATCCCGCCAAGAAAACAGGATTCAAAATCAGATGATAATAATGCTACTGCATCATATAATGAAAATTCTTGGTCATCACAACAAAAACATTCGAAGGCGCCCGATGGAAATAAAGGAGTAAAACCCTTGGAAAATGGGTCAACAAAAGTAACAAAGGCTACCAAAGTTCGAGATTATCAGGATAGTCCTCGCAACGTAAAACGGAAATTAGTTAAAGTTACGGCAGAGTCAAATTCTCAGCAAACCGATATAATGGAATTCGATGAGACGTTTAGATCACAAAGCATTGTACCAATTACTGTCGAACAACGTACTCTTGGTGTTCAATCTCCTGTCATAACTGTCCAAACAGTTGGTAATCAAACAGATAATTCTTCTTATACAAGATCAATCGAAGTTCAAACAGATCCAATAGATATACAGCAAAACCCAATAAACACACAACAAAACTCAATAAACACACAGCATCAAGAACCCGGAAATGATGAGGAACAATCGGAAATGGCACTATTTCATCATGTCTTATTTGAACGTAAGAGTGCCATAGGTCGTGAATACAAGCATCGAGCCGAAAAAGACACAGAGAAACGATCGCCATTGGAAAAGGTGTCCGATTATCTGGAATCCTTCCTACGCTATACAGAAGCTGTTTTTCATCAACATGAAGCCGATAAGAACGGTTACAAATATAACTTTAAGTATCTTAATCTAGAAAAATTATTCGATTTTATTCGAGCCACAATCGAAAAACAAGGGAACGAGACTCCTTTGGCCGGGCTTGTCAAGTTTGTCAAAGCGGTAATCCTATTTAAACACTGGCAGATTGAACAAAACCGTTTCCGTCAGATTGAGAATAACCTTCAAGATTCTTATATAAATGATTCATCAGGTTTAAATTCTAAAAAAGCTTTTGACGAATATTTGAAGTAAGTTGTTTTTTTTTTTAAGTATTTGAATTTCCTGAAACAACAATTATATATATATATATATATATATATTTTTTTTTTTTTTTTTTTTTTTTTTTTTTTTTTTTTTTTTTTTTTTTTTTTT